AAGAAGCACTGGGAAGATGCAGTTTGGAACAATTAATTCCATTTATGACAGCTCGCTTCTCAAAGGAGGATCCTTAGTGTCAACATCAGTGCAAAAGATGCTAAAGTGAGCTCCAACGTACCTTAAAATAATTCTGAACAAATAAAAGAAACCAGGTTTTCTCTTTGATACAAGTAGAGGTACAGGAATTCAGAACAAAGCAAGGCGTCTGTGTTTTCTCTGCACCTTCTAAAGGAAACTTAATACAGGCATAGAGCATCAAATATTTACAAACCTGAAACATAAGTGGATCTTTAAACTACAGCCAGATATAGATTTAATAAACAGTATTTTGAGTGGTAGTGCAATTATATGTATCATCAGTTGCTCAAGATAACTGAGAACAACGAAGGAAAAATGAGTTATTAAATACTAAAAAATGATGTCAGGAAGCTATTATTGTTACGTTAATAATCATCAGATCGTTTTTTCTAATGAAGTCCTGTAATAGAACAGAAACAGTTTGGTTGGTGAGGCCCTAGGCATGGATTCTTAGATGTCTAATCCCCAAAATGGATTAAATATGAGACAAATCATTACAAAACACAGAAGTTGTAGTTGCCCTTTCTTACGGAGTGTAGAAATTAAAAAGGAAACGTATATTACTTAAAAGCAATATTTCCGACAACAAACTAAGACATGAAGAGAATATGTCCACAGATAGATGTGGTTTCCCCCGCTGTCCACAAAGCTGGCAGTCAACCCTCTGACCTTGACTTCAGGTAAAGCCAAAGTTACATTCCACACAACAAAACCCCCATCTCCTGTGTCACTGACAGAGGAGCCATGATCAGCCTCAGAGCTGTACATTAGGCCATGGTTTACAGATCCTGCACTCAGTGGAAGGCAGCATTGCAATGGTTAAGAGATAAACATGATATTTTTGTTGTCTATTATCATTAACCAGATTATTATAAAAGGGACCTGATGCCCCGACCTTTGCACTCTTTCATTTGATTAGCATTGTAAACATCTTCATCCTAGTCTTATCTTGCTCCATGCATGTTAATAAAGTTAATTGGCATGTGTTAATATTTTTTAAAGTAAATGGACTCAGCAAAAATGTGAATAAAGACAATCCATCAGCTGTGGGAAAACAACCCGTTTAAGAATTTATTTTTTTAAGAGTTGCTAGATTTACTAGCCCTCCTTATTGTTGAGCCTGTATAAGGAGATTTCATTACGTGTTATCGTGTATGAAATAGGAACACTGTATAGTACTATGATATTAACTTTCTGCTAGCTGTTCCCCATCTCAGTGTCAACTGAAAATGACATCCGAGTATTACCCCAACTTTGCAGCTCCTTGCAGCTTTTAGCATAATCTTTTGGTAACCAGACCAAGAAGACAAAACAAAGCCACTTCCTGTTCAAATGCAGGATGCTTCTTACAGCAAAAGGATGGCACACAAAGAGAGTGTATATGCTACCTGTGTGAAAAGAGGAAGTAAGCATTTGACCCGGGAAAATAGTCAAACATTTACCAAGTGCAAGAGATGCAAATTTCTTAAGAGTTGGCAAACTAAACTAGGGGTAAACAAAAGTGACCATTGGACCATTTTTTGAATATGACAGAGACAGAAATAGATCCCCTATGCTTCCTCTGGCTTGCTAGATGCTAAACCTCCGAGCTGTGCTAAAGCATAGCGTGTAATCAGCTGGTGTGATTTCCTCGTGGCCTACGAGCTGCTGCCGAGAGCTTTATCTGAACCAGTATGGTTTGGATGGCATCACAAATCAAACAATGAGGTGATAGAAAACTGCATAGAGTTGTGAATTAGGGCAGTGATTCCCAGCGGAATTGAGAGTAACCCTTTCATATTATCATTAGTCCTTAGATACAGTGTAGAATATATTGCTGCTTAAAAGGTGAAATGCTTTTTATTACAAAATATGTGCAGCTGTGTGATAATGTTTTCATTGAATGTATTTATAGAAAATAACCAATATTTCCATAAATTGTGTAAAGAAATAAGCCCTTAGGGTCCTGCTATAAAACTATATGGGTGTATATAGATGTGTAGGGAAACAAAAAGCCAATGTAAAGAAGGTCAGTTTAAGGTGAAAGCTAACTTTCCGTTCTGTACAGGAAAGGGTTGTATTTAATCAAATCAAGTTTTATTTATAATTTAAACCTGGAGTCATTTATTTATGTTTAAATCAGTCATTGGAAATGCATAGAATCATGCTACTGTATATTTCGAAGTGTGAATAACACTGTGCTTGGTTTCAATGCATGAACAAATTATATGAAATGAAAAAAAGATTACTGCCTCCAGCGCACTAGCTCTGCTTTAAAAAAAGACTATAATATTGTCAACCATGAAAAGTACGACCCAGCGAGCCATGACAAGGCAAACAGCATCTCTCAGTAGCAGAATATGAGTTTTTAACTACAGTTATGTGCAGCTGTGTGTTTAGGATACACATATATTACAATGTTCTCATTTAAAAACATTAGGAATAGTTTAAATATTAAGCTGCTAGTTATTACAAAAGGGGGCATACAATGGTGTGAATCCTCTTTTTCTAAACTCCCCTCTCAATTTCAAATCAAACATACATACAGTACTATAGCAAGTGTGAAACCTACAGTGTAGTGTGAGGTATAGCTCCTTTGATAGATAGGAGATGAAAACAAAGCAAGCACAATGAAGTGCTTAAAAAAAAAACTAAAGCAATACCGAATCCTGGAGATATAGCTCCAGCGCATGCGTCACGAGTAATCACAAATACTGTTTTAGGTCACACTAGAATTGTTAAAAATAATCCTCCTGGGGAAACGGTGTTGGATTCAGCCAGATGCAGTGGAGGACTTGAGCATGGCAAAGGCTGCAAATGAGATTGTGCTAAAGAGGACACTCTGGCCTCTCCGGTAAATCTAATTATCGTTCAATTGAAGGAGCAGAGGATGTGGAGGGTATGAGAGGAAGAGTGTGGAGGGTGATGAGCGTAATTAAATGCATGATGTGATCTCTCAAAGCCTAAAATGACACTGACCATACTGAACATGGCTTCCCAGGGGCACTGACAGCTGATCTTTCTGTCAATATGCCTGGCTGTCTTTCTAGCTCAAGAAAAGTCAGAACAAATTCAAAGTGTCAAACAGCCATTTATCTTTAGACTGTGCACCTGAAAACAATATCTCCTTGTGATACGTCTCGTATTTTCTGTCTCATGAATCTAAATGTTTTTCTGACTCTCACTAAAAATGATACAAGGAAAGAGTTTGTGAACAAGAATGCAATTCAATATAAGCTCTTAAGAAAATACAAATGATAAATGTTTCACTTTAGAAACAACACTTGAAGTAATATAGGCTACTCAATCTGCATCTAAAGCTGAATTCCCTGGCCTATAGTATATTGTAAAAGAACTACAAGCCTATAGTATATTGTAAAAGTACTACAAGCCTATACTATATTGTAAAAGTACGACAAGCCTATAGTATATTGTAAAAGTAGCAACCTCTTGTTCATAAGTTGACAATGACAAAAACATGTGAATGCTGAAACTTGTTTGCCTTAAAATCTGGTACAGACATACGTTCACACTGTCAGCTATCTGTTCATCAACATTTGCATATACATGAAAGTTTTTACCACTAGTAAAAGCCACCATTTTTGCAAACACTTACATTGTGTTAAATATCTACCATGTGATTATTATTTGTGTACACTGCATATCTTTGAAATCATGAGAAGTTGAATATCAAAGACAACAAATACTTGATTGTGCTATTTTAGTTTCTGAGATAAAGCCCTTTTCTAATCATACTACATGTAGTCTTTCAGGTAAGGGCACAAGACAGGAGGAGACTAATGGAATATAAAGAAAAGCGTTAAAAAAATATATATATATATATGAAATAGATCTGTTAACATCTAAAGCTCAACTTGAAAACATAAGCAGTAGCTATTGCTAAAAATGTATTGCTGCTCTTTAGTTGCACAGGACACGCAGTGGTTGACTTGAAGGTTAGATGATGTAATAGCTTTGTGTTTAGTAGTGAAACAGCCACACGAGGAGAAGTGTCCTTACTACAGTTCACTGTGGGGGTTGGTATTAGGGCAAACTTTGTGACTACAGACATGGAGGATGAGCCTCCCTTTTCTAAAAAAGGACTCCATTGTGTTGCCACAGTGACAGAGCAGTTTGGCTGGTTACACCTCCACCTCTCTTCTTCTCTCGTTTCCTCCCAGCTAACAGCCAGAATAATTTGAGCATGCTCTCTCCTTCACGCTGAACTTCCTTGTTACTGGTAGTTTCATTCATTCTCGTGCAGGTGCTGCGAAGACATTTCCTAACTCAGGCAGCCAAAGGGCTATTAGTGCAGCAGACAGACAAAGCTGGATAAGGACTTTAGGGTGTCCAACAACAGGTAGTAGACAGATAAAGCACACACACACTCTGCATGACCTCAATATGTCACAAAAAACACCAGCTGATTTGCTTCAACAGCTCTTCTGCCAGGTTAGATCTCCTGACAAAGCATCATGTCTTCTTCAATTAAACACTGAGGAAAAGTGGGTTGTGTTTATAATAAGTGTAATGTTATATGGGTAGATATAGCCAGTTAGAAGATCATTCAAAACTGTACAAAATTGTAATAGGTATATGAAAAAGACGAATAATAAGAAATATGCCAAATGAGAACTTTGACACAATATGTAAGCCTAGTTTTTGCACTGAAATTGTCACAATACAAAACCATGTAGACCAAGATATTTAGTGAATGAATAATATGCGTTTCAAATCAAAGTAATTATAACGCATGCTGCTCAACATACAGTAAGACTTTGGCTCCTAAAGTATTTATTAGTGTTCCAAGATCATCAACGCCTTGTTATGCAGATGAGGATGATGTCAGACTTTTCAAAGATGTGTCTGTCAGTACTACTACTAAAGGGTGACAGCGTGTTATCTCAAGGCCTATCCTAAAGCTCTCATAATCAGCTTACCAGGTTGAACACCGTCTCCACGATATCCCGGTTGGAAACTTCCCCAACTTCCACCAGGCCAGCGAGCACGCCGAATTTCATCTTTATTCCCCGGATAGGCACTCCGGGGTTGAGCGCCATGGCTCCTGTAGTCCCGTCCTGAGCATCCGCAGAGCCCGCTGTCTCCTCGCTAGCCATTGCTAAGGAAGGACGGGGCAGGTGGTGTTCACAGGTAAGGCACCTGTTCACCTCCAAACGGTGACAGAGCAGAGAAGGAGAAAGAGAAAGAGGACTCAACTCCCCTTCAGCTGAGTTGTTGACAGTCTAAAGGCACACAAAGCAAACCTCCCCATCCAAAATAGTTGCAGCGAAAGTAGGCACAAAAAAGCCGTTGTTAGCTGTTGACACTGCGGGATATGTCACCGCTTCACTCCACACTACTCCTCTTCTTCCCTGGTCCGTAACTTGATCCCACAAGGATAGATTAATGTTGTCAAAAGCCGCAAGGAAGTCTGCAGGTAACAAGAGGGGGGCAGGTGAAGCAGGGCTCGTCCTTAACCTGTTTTCCCCCCTTGTAGTCGGTCAAACAAGGATACGGTCACTTTAATACCTCCGTGCAGCAGTGGAAGTTGCTATTGAAACTGAGTCCAGACACTTGACAGGTAGCGCGTTTGGCAGAGGCTAAACACTCCCAAACTGGAAAAGGGGGGTGAGTCTGTCAGCAGCTCTGGTGGAAGTCGACAAAACACAGCTCGATCCTTCCCGGTTAAACTCCTCAGACTTGCTTAAATGTCAACGTTAACCCAGCTGCGCCGCATTCTCTTCCTGATTTACCCCGGTAGCTTCAGCTCGTCACCGCCATGACAGTGTAGCTCTTGAGTGAGCGGCGCATGCGCAGTGCGGAGCTGAGTGTGTTCAGCTCATTGGCAGGTGTGCGGCTCAGGTGGCTTTACAGCACGACACGCTGGGACTCAGCTAAAATCTACACAGCTTCCAGATCTATTCTGTTTCAGCAACTCATATTTCATCATCCTGACCGGGATACAGAGGCAGTGGTGGAAAGAAACTCAATGCATTTACTCAATGTTCGGCATACTTGAGTTTGACGTGCTGCTGTTTTGTACCTAACCTAACCCGTGTAACATTTTTAATATTACATTTTTTAATTATATTTGTTACTGAGGACTTCTTTCTCCACTGATATTAACATTTAATGCAGCTTTATACTCCACTACATTTCAGATATAACATGTTTTACTGACCTACATTTTTCTCAGTGCTAGTTACTTTACATAAGAGTTAACATAATAATATCAATGGTTCAGTTACTCTGATCAATTGTTTTACACTTTTTTTATTTGTATAAGATAAATAGCTTCAATAATGTACTTATGAAAATTATTAGTCATAGAAAAAAAGCATCTTACCCTAAGAATACTGGCAACGCATATCAAAAAAGGGTCTGTATTTTATTGCTTTAATATTCAGTAGCAGTCCTGCAATAAGGAACATAGCCTCTCATTGCACCTCTTGAGAAAGTAAACAGCGTGGTACGTTTTACCTACTAAAAAACCTGGAGGGATCTGAAGAATGGCAGAACAATTCAAAAATATTTTTTGTATTTCATATTTGTTTTACCTATTGTCTATTGTAGATGTTTCTATTTTGTATTTGTCTCTTAACTTTTGAACTTCTTTTATTGTTATGCACCAACACAAATTCCTTTTATTTGAAAACCTAGGTTGCAATAAAACTGTTAATGATTCTGAAAATAATCCTTAACCCATATAGTATTTATAAGATCATTCAGCAACTAAGGATCAAACCTAAGCACATAACAGAGGAAAATAAATATCATAAATAATTATTCAAAACATTACTGTACTATACTTTGAGCCCCTCAGCGAGTAACTTGTATCTCAAGATGGTCTAATTTGTTGAACAAGCACATAACACAGCCTTTTGCTTTGGAATAAAATAACAAACTTGGGGGATTGAAAAGCATTTAGAAGTTTTTGCAGCACAACAGCACATTGACAGGTGTCTCCTGAGGCAGTGAAAAACAAACATTAAAGCTTAGTGACAGGTGTGCTTTGCTTGCCATTTCAAATCATCACCAACAACGCATGCCGTGTCAGATGTTTAAACAGCTGAAGACATGAGCAGTCACTGTAGTATCCATACATTTTTGCATGAAGGACATCCAATTAAAACACCATTTGTAAAGATATTATCTGTATTAAACAATTCCCTATATTGTGATGTTTTTGCCTTCTCCTTTCTCTGCTCATGCAGGTTACCTCATATTTTCTCTGCATCATGGATGAGCAACTATGAGTGTTGTTGCCACAGACGCAGCTGGCGTCACTGTTACCACTGACCTCCTCCCAGTAAAGTGTATCTGAGTCCTCAGGGACCTCGGGAGTCATGGAAGCCTACAGCAGCACCCGAGAGACACAGGCCTTGTCTCTGATGCACAGTAATGACCCGAAATAAGCAGACTTGTTCACTGCAGCCCAAAGGTAGACCTTCTTAAATAAAGCTTTGAAAGGCTTGTACTGACCTTTGAATTGAACACTGACCATGTCCTATTATTTATCTAACTAGGCTCTACAGCAATAATGAGACTCAAAGCCTGAGACATTCGGTGGTGTATCAAAGTGTTACTGTAGTCATTTGCAGTCTTCCTGCCATTCTGTTTGAAAGTACTATGTGAACAGAAGATGATATTTTCTGTTCTTTTTTGTCAAAGACTGCAATTAAAGCAATGAGCACCAAGAGATTTATTTTGTGTCAGAGTAAATATTGCATTCAACACACTGAACACAGAGAACAGTACATTAATGAGGATTAGAGATTATTCCAAGACATCAGTTTAATATCGATGCTCGTTAAAACAAAACACCAGAACTTTAAGATAAAACAAAAACTGCTAATACAAATGGGTGATAAAACAAGAGGACACACACATTTACCTCTCAACAAAGATGTACTTTATTATCCCAATTTTGGAAATGTTTTTGTTGCAGCAGCATAAAACAAAACAAGGCATTGCACATAATAACAAATTAAAAGAATAGAAATAAACAATTCTAAAATATAAACATCTCGAAATACAAATAGAAATAAACCATTATTTCTATTTAAATGACATTTAAAAACAAATATTGTATGTAATTTATCCGACTATTGTTACTCTAAAGAATTAACACACACTATTCATGTTGTGAGTGTGCATGATTAATTTTTTTACTTTGAATATTACCAACAGACACATTCTTCCCTTTGTTACAATAACAGTTTGGGTGTATAACAAGCTGCACCCGCTTGACAAATGTACACACCAGACTGGTTCAGCCTGTTCAGAGATCAGGATGGTGCCTTTTTATATTTTCATTTAAAGGGGACCTATTATGCAAAATCCACTTGTCATAACGATTTTTTGGGTTGTGTAACCATTAGCCAATCACCAACCAAGGTAACACTGACCCACCTTATCACCTGAATCTCCTCCTAGAGCACCATTGTGTTCTTTTTAACCAAATATCTCTCAGAGCGGTGTGGGGAGTGGCTCCTTATTTTCATCTAAAGTAACAGACACAGAATCAGCACTTTTGAAACAGGGCTGAAACAGAGGGGTTTATGGGATGCTGCAATGATCTGTCTGGTATTTCAGCCAAATATTTCAGAGACATGTTTTGTATATCTGAGACCTATAATATATTGATGAAAAACAGTATAATAGGAGACCTTTAAAGTAGTTAAACCCAATATACAATATTAGATGTGTGAAGGCAAATTAAGGGTGTAACAATGTAATATGTATAGGCTGAAGATATTAATATTGACAATAATTGTGATATTTAATCACTTTTTGTTTTATTTTTTTATTATTTAAAAAACTTGAAGTACGCCTATGCGTCATATAATTTCAGAAACTAAGAGACACATTTTTTTTCTGGTCCTATATTAATCGATTCTCCAAAAACAGTTTAATAATATTATTTATCTGATATCCATGCATTTAAAAGTATATGAATAAACTGAATAAAACTATACATTTCACAATGATATCTTCAGTTGCTAAAACATTTAAAATAGCCACATGTATTTGCTTTCATGGACACCAACAAGTAAGTTATTTCCCCTTTACTTTATGAGATTGATTCATTTTTTATAATTGTATGGTTATTTTATTGCTTTTATTGTTAAGTTTGGTTCAGCTTAGTCTTTACCAATTATATAGTTTATAAACCCTTTTTGTATCTTTCATATACATGTTCATCCAATTTGTTATTGTGAAGATTGCCTTTCTATTTCGCTAATTAATCTTGTGAATACAAAAAATACAGTTACTTCATATGCCACCGTTAATATCATTTGACCAGCAGAGGGCGCCAACAAAAACTACAAGTACTCGCGAGAGAAGACAAATCTCACGACCGGATTCGAGCTCTTTAAATCTCGCGTTGTTACCGTCCTTCCTCCTCTTTCACTCCCTGTAGCCAACATGGCAGTCGGCAAGAATAAGAGACTGACCAAAGGAGGCAAAAAAGGTGCCAAAAAGAAGATGTAAGTAGCACATTCTCACATCTTTACACTAAACTTGCTTTGTACAGTCACTGTAGTTAATTTGGTGAAAAAAATCTGAAGGATGAAGCAGATATTAGATGGATGTCACCGAGCCACTGTGCTAGTCTCGTCGTCACCGGCCTCTGTGGCGCTGGATGAGTTGAAACATGCTCTCTCCCTTGTAGTCGTCGCCTTGCTTTTCTGTTATAATTCAGTTGATTAAGTCAGACTTATGTATTTCTTATGCGGGGCTAATTAAATCTCACAGAGCTCTGTCAGTTTAGCCGTAGAGCTGAGGTTTGTAGTGATATTTGCTAAAGGCTACTACATGTTAGCATGGAATTAGCCGACCAATATTAGCTTACCTATCAACATGGCAGCTAAACGCCAAATATTAAATGTTATTTCATTCGGATAATAATACTGCAGGAAATAACCGAGTGTCTTAGCGATATCACAACAACGTTAAGGGTATTGCCAACACTGGTGACCAAATTAAATGTAAGTAAATCCTCCACGGTGCTTACGAGAATAGTGTCCTTTGCAGTGCGTGCTTAGCCGCTAAGCTAACCGTGAGTGTGGCATTTCGTTTGTGACTTGTTAGTGGAAAATGGTTTGCTCTAAATGCTTGTTTCTTCTCTCCTGCAGTGTTGACCCTTTCTCCAAGAAGGACTGGTATGATGTCAAGGCACCAGCCATGTTCAACATCCGCAATATTGGCAAGACCTTGGTCTCCAGGACTCAGGGAACCAGTAAGTCTATGTGCATTAGCATGCTGCTGCCTCATACATTGCTGTCCCATGCGATCTAAATAATTTACCAAATTGGGATCAATAAAATATCTATCTATATTTGGTTGCAGGATGCATGAGACCAGTAATAATACATGTAAGAGTTGTATAGACTTTAAATCATGTTTTAGGTATTCTTTCACTCCTACATATTCTCTTTTTTTAATTCTGTGTTTTTGCCACCCCCCAGGAATCGCCTCAGATGGTCTTAAGGGACGTGTGTTCGAGGTGAGCCTTGCTGATCTGCAGAACGACGAGGTGGCCTTCCGCAAGTTCAAACTCATCACCGAGGATGTCCAGGGCAAGAACTGCCTCACCAACTTCCACGGCATGGACCTCACCCGTGACAAGATGTGCTCCATGGTCAAGAAATGGCAGGTAATGATCATGGGTTTTATGAGAAGTACGGCATGGGCTCCAGAAAATGAATGCCAAATGCATTTTTATTTCACCTATATTCCTCCTCGTATGCTTGAGATTCAATAACTAGCCAGGTTAATCCTTTCTGCAGTGTAAGGTT